GAGGGTCTTCTTGTAAATCTCAGGATTCAGAGCATCTACAGTCTGCGCGAGGCAGGGGTTGCATCGCCCGTTAATGCAGTGTGCTACGGGGAAGCATGCGCAGCACAAGCATGATCGCTTGCTCCACCAGTCTACACCGCTGCAAGGAATCACATACTTCGAGGAGTCCAGCTGCACCGGTTGGTAGCTCCCCGGGTAGGACTTGGCATCCCAGTCGATGTTCGACATGACTCGCTTGACCGCTACAACTACAGTGCCGCAGACATGCTGAAAGGCAGAATGCTTCAGGCGAAGGCAGCCAATACTTCGCAAAAAGAGCCTGTCTGGGGGTTACACTGACGGTGTGAAGCTTTAGCAATGCTATCGTCAAATGCTCTCCAGCCCTGAATAAACCCCTAAACCCTAGCGAACCCGTAAACTCTGACGGCCAAATGCCCGAAATGACTCCTCAACCATAAGCCGCAGGACGTGAAAGCCTCGAAACCATCTAGCAACTGCAGGACGACGGTCGGAGCTCAAACAAAGCTAATCCTCATCTTCTTATGTTTCGATAAATATCTTTAGTAATTTTGGCTTTCGTGTTTAAGATTTAATTAAGGGGTGGGGGGTCTGGGGCCCTAAAAAGTTGAGAGGCCTCTTTCAGCGCTCCGTGCTTGAAGAGCTCCTTGGGACCACAGCTCGCAGGGCCGCAGTTGAGGGTTTCCACGCTCACTCTCGCACAAGGCAGGCAAGGGTTTAGGGTTTAGGGTTTAGGGTTTAGGGTTTAGGGTTTAGGGTTTAGGGTTACATGGTGCAGCGAAAAGCTGATACGGGTTGCGTTAAGGGTTCCTTTAACGGGTTACGGCTCGAGCTGAGGGAGGGCTGGACCTAGGCTTTCGGGCATTGGGTGAAGGATACATAGGGTTCCAGGCTAGGGCACCCACTGTGCTGTGGATGGCCTGGCCCTGGAGCTGTGGATGCTCATCCACCAAGCCCGTCGACGTTGGCCCGTCTGTCTGTCTGTCTAAGTTGCCCAGGCCCGTGTGGTTTTGAGGCTGTTGAGATGCGGCGACCATCCGAGGGTCCGAACACAGCGACAGCTACCGGGATAGTGAACAGGAGATGCCCGGTCTCTGTACTTAACAGTTCTTTGTGGGGAGGAGCACACCGTGCGCAGGGAAATAGCCGCACGCGACACTGGGGATGCATGCATTCTCCAGTCTTAGCATCGTGGAAGTTCCTGCTGCTGCCCTAACCCTCCCGAGGGAAACGCAGACAAAGCCGCAGGGGATCTTGAAAAATGTCAGGCTCTTTAGTGTGCCCTATGGGTTTATACGCGGACACAGAACACACCTAGCCCCACCACCAAGCTGTGCCTGTAGCCGCTAACGGGTCACAAGCAGTCCTGTCCCTGCTCCAGCCAGGTTTGTGCCGACGAGGTGTTTGCAAAGCCCTGCAGGAGGGTTGCCGACTGTTCCTCGGCCGGCATTTATCAATGTGCATAAACATATATACGTTTCGTAATTGGAGGTGTTTTCTGATCTCAGGACAACGAGCACAAAATAGGCAGTGGCAGTACTCACGCACAGCCATATAGAAGAGTAGTACAGTAGCAGTGGCAGAACCAGCTATAGCAGAAACACAGGGGAGTAGTACAGTAGCAGCGGCAGTGGGGGTGGGGGTCGGAGTAGCTGGGGTAGGGATAGGGGTAGGCGTGGGCGGGGGCAGAAGGAATGTCGTAGCAGTCGTAGGAGGCGGAGGAGTTGCAGCAGCAGCAGTAGCAGTAGTAGTCGTATCAGTCGTAATCGTAGTCGAAGTCGGGGCTTTTGGGTGTGGTGGTGGTGCTGCTGCTGCTGCTGGTGGTGGTGGTGGTGGTGGTCGTGGTGGTGGTGGTGGTGGTGGTGGTGCCGATGGCGGTGGTGGTACCGTGGTGGTACTCTTGTTTTATGTCTCAAACTGGAATGTTGTGGTGGATACAGCAAACGCCAATGCAATCGCTGCCATCATTCATTGTACCACTCCACCACATTATCTGGTAACATGTGTTACTTCTACTTTGTACAAGTCACATGGATCTGCACGGAACAGGAAAGGCTCAGAGAAGATACACAATACTATCCGTATCTATGGCAGTTCGGAAGAGCTCTCTGCCAAGAACTGCATCAGGGGCCGTGCACTCGCAACTGGGACATCACCAGCAAGCGGCAAGGATTTCACTGCTCAACATTCGCATTTGGCCTTGCCAAGTTTAGGGTTTACCCAGATGCCCTGATTGCATTCCAAGGAACCTCACCCGGTTTGTAGGCTTCCGCAATACCCAGCCCGGTCAGGTAGGAGACCACCGAGGATCCGAACTCCTCCGGCCAACCAGTGCTTTTGAAATTGCAGAGAATACAGGATGAGAATAAAATCCTACAGCCTCAAGTGCAAACTTCATCAGCACACTGTTTTCAGAATGCCCTGAAACCGGAGCGGCTGAATACCAAACTTGATTGTCTTGCCGCCACTTGGAGGTTCATGGGTAGTTATAAGTGGGTTTATAAGTCCCCTAATAGGTGTTATAACTATACTTGCCGTACATATAACCTCACTTATAACTACCCATGAACCTCCCAGCAGGCCCCACGGGACGATATCTGGAATGGACACTCTACTCCGCTCCGCGGGTCCCTCAAGCAAGCTGGTCGCAAAACTGCAAATCAGACACCCCTGCCTGTAGCCACCAATTATAAAGAACACTCCTACCAATGTCAGTGTCATTTTAAAAACAGCTGTCTTGATATAGCTTCGAATCTTGCGTCAGCATTCTGAATACTAGGCTTCACACTCTGTTTCGCTCTGCCGTGCCATCCTCGAGGGTTTTCAAGGGCACGTAATGGCAGACTAGAAGATCAGGAGGCATAGCGATGTCATTATTGATTAGTATTAGCATTCTTGGTCTCACTGTTGCTATTTATTCCTTCATTCACTGTAAGATTTATTGTCATCTTACCTGCTGCGATTGCTGTGGTTGTGGTTGTTCTTCTTCTTGTTGTCTTCATCTGCAAGCCCACACACCTCCCCTTCCACAAAGCCAATCCATCCAACCCTTCTAGACCCTACACGGAGCCCTCCACCCTAGTTCATGCCTCCAAACCCTGTTGCATCCAACTTGTGAGATGCTTGCTCGTTTCCGATTGCAGAGCCGTTTCCAAAAGCCCACCGTCTCAAGACCTCCGGGGGAGCCACGACGAGACAGAGTGCCTAAGAGGAGTAACCGGCGTGGATATGTATGTTTGCAGGTTCAGGCCCCGGAGCCCGAGCTATCTCGAGTTTGCCCCTCAGCGCACTCTGCAGACTTGGTAGTCCTGGCTCTCCAAAATCCAAGCCTCGGCGACCCGGTGTAGGAGGGCAGCTTTGTGGCTAAACGTTACAAAGGTTTGCCGGCTTGGTGTTTACAGAATTTCGGGCCTAGATGTCATGAGCTTGCCTTGCTGTTGCCCATGATATGAAGCATCTACGATCGTGGGACCGTGCGGTAAAGCCGGTTCCCAAAGGCTCAGGGTTTGGGGATAAGGTTTTGATGCCGGCTTTACAGAAGACATCGTTTTGCTACACAATTCTCGGCATCTGAATCAAGGTCGTGTCTGAGGTGCGGTGCATTGACAGTAATCAGTTCCCTGCAAGGTGCCAGATGTGGAAACGCATTGAGATCGAACAATGCTAACTACAAGTGCTAAGCATTCGGCATGTCGGCCAAATTCCTTGCCGTTCAAGCCCAGCACACTAAGGGACTCTACTGAAACATGTAGGTTCTAACTACTACCTGGCTCAGTCGCTTTGTCCGGGGTTGAGGGCTTTTCACGAGACAGGACGACACATATGTCATCACACCTCCAAGTTCTACACTCTCAGCTTATATACGAGCTGCCATACCGAACCTACTCATAATATCATCTCGCCACAGTCTAAACCCTAAACCCTAAACCCGAAACCCTAAACCCTAAACCCAAACCCTACCCAGGGTGATAGGCGAAACATCTTGCAACCTCAGCCTCTCTAGTTTTGCCACCACTCGGCATAGGTACACCTGTCTCCCTCTCCTCCCTCTCGCACGCTTCCTCTCTCGCTTTCTCTCTCTCTCTCTGTCTCTTTCTCTCTCTGTCTCTTTCTTCGTCTGCCTATCTCCTTCTTTCGTGTCTCTCTCTCTCTCTCTCTCTGTTTCCATCGGGCATAAGGGGCTGTCAAACCCCCTGGCCACCAGTGCCTCCCATGTGTTGCGGGGCTTTGAGGGTGTGAAAGTTCTTCGGGGTCCAGCACTCCAAGAATCATTCAGTCTCTCTCTCCTTCTTTCTCCCTCTCCCTCCCTCTACAGGAGTTCGCTCGCTCTCACTCTGTCCCTGCTCCATTCTGCGATTCTGTCACAGTGCTCAGGCGAAGCTGTGGCGAAGCTCACTCACTGTCTCTCGCTCTCTGTCCCTCTCGCTTCCTACCGGGGATGCGGAAGGGCAGCAGGCCTACCCTCGCACTCTCACCTGTCAAGAGGTCTTCTCTGCGACGGCGCCAACCTGTGCCTCTCCCTCCCTCTCTCTTTCTCTGTCTCTCTTCCTCCCTCTCAGTCTGTACCCTGGCCACGCGGGTGCCCGAAGCCCTAAAAACCCATAACCTTGCCCGACACCGCAAGCTCATTCCCAGCACCCTGAACTTTACTGCCTCACTGCTGCCGAGACAGTCCTGTGCCTAGAAGCAAAACTTAAACTTAATGACGGGTGCCCATAAAATTTGTGATATTGGGGCATATTCCTCACCAGGAGGTTTGGGCAGCCCAGAAAAAACAAAGAAAGATGCTTGGAAAACCTGCTAGAACCCTTGAAAGCCATTCTGAATGCCACCGGTACAACTCTAGCACGGTATCTTTGGTGCATGGTAATAATAGGCCATAATTTACTATAGTGGACTAGAACTATAGTATACCATACTCTGCGATGCTTCTGTCAGGGCAAGGCGCTCGCTTCCGGGCTCGGGTGATGCCGACGTACAAAGTCTTGAGCCATGCGCACAGCAGACCATGCTTGTCCTGACAGAGAGACTTCATTGGGCTCAGGTTAAGGTGCAGTGTGGTTTAGGGTTTCGGCGCTCATAGTCTTTTTTTCGAGAGCAGGATGCTGAGGTCTAGGGCCTACGTGCAATATAAGGGCCTGCATACCTAGAATCGGGTTTGGGGCTTGATCATAACTATATTCTGGTTACACTGGGCATGCCGAAGGAATACTAGTTCTTCTAGATTCTTAATTTACCGGCGTGTTAGATCGTGGAGCTTGCTGAACCCATTCTTGGAAGCGCGGCTGTGTGACCTGCCCGACTTTTTGCAACCCATGGAGCTGCACTGTAAAAACACTCGACCACATACTCAAGACCCTTGACCCTCGCCCTCAAATTCCGAACCTTCAACCCTAAACCCCAATTATTTGCCTCCTTCTCCCAGGAAGCTCTCGCAAGTCGTTAGATCCTTTTACAGAACCAAACCAAGAAGCCCTATCACCACCTTCGTTGCCCCCCCCCCCCCCCGCCCCCAACCTTCCCATCCTACCCTTCCATGGCCAGGGGCCCGCATGACTCTAAGGTCTGTGTTCAGGGTGGTCCAGGGTTAAGGCCATGCCAGGCCCCCAACAGTCCTTGTCGAAGGGGACCACCCGCTTCTTGTCTAGAGCAGAAACCTTTCACAAGAAGAGCGGCCTCTCTGACCAGTTTCCTAACACTGCTAGCCCGCTGCACATCCGGAGACTCGAATGCTAGTTAAGCGTAGGAGCAAGATTGAAAGGTCAAGCTGAGCAGAAATGAAACATGCTTGAGTATCAAGAGTAGAGTAGGCAAATAGGAGAGTAGGAGAATTGGAGGAAGGAGTAGGAGCCAGGAGTTGCAGAAGAAGGAGGAGGAGCGGTAGGAGGACTCAGGGGAGTAGTAAGGAAGAAGAGCAGCCGTAGCAGCAGCGGCAGCATGGGGAGGAGAAGCGGGGGAGGTCGGCGTGGTCGTCACATATGAGCTAGTCACGATTTCCAGATTTAGGATTACGAGGTCTGGGCTTGGGGTCGTACTCGGAAGTGCAAGTTCGTAGAAACTGATGGGTGCAGCCCTAGAGCCCGACAGATCTTTTGAGAAGAGTGCAGCAGCCCTGTGCTGTGACGCCTCCATGTTGCTCGTCTCCATGAAGCCGAAGACTAAATTCCAAAGCTGCGTCGCTTGTGACTCGCTCGTGTCCTGTGCCGGGCAGCGGAAACGCAGGGACATGAGGTCGTGTAGTCCAAGGGAACTTTCCATCCATCCTGAACCCCAAGTTCCTGAAAGGTTGTCGGTGGCTTGCTCGGAGCAATTTTTCGATGGGAGTTGGACCTAGAATGCACGTGACACCCGATTGAGGGTCATGACCACGGTAATTTTGCGCCAAGTTCCAACCAACAACGAACCTCAAACGCTAAACCCCAAACCCCACCGCTCAGACGACACGGAAGAACGCCGCTCCTTAGCCATGTCGCTGAAGGGGTCCAGCATCAAGACATCAAAGAACTCCAAACCTGGTGCCGGCTTCCGTGAAAAGGCCCTATGCCGATTACCGGTGACAGATATTGCTTCAAGAACCGTATTTCAGCATGCATAATGGGGGGGAAGTATGCACGGCTCTGTTGTATACCGCAAATCTCTGGGGTAAGTCGTCCGGAGTTCCTCCACAAGAGTCCAGGTATCTAAAGACTCTAAGATAAGGAACCTCTGACTTGAACAACCACCCCGAAATTTCTCTGCGAAGCAGTGCAACCCGTGCTTTCCAAGATCACGGAACTCCAGCTGACATAGGAGCCCTATGATCATAGATTAGAGTTAGACTAGAACAGGGTCCGGGGCAGATTTCCGTCTACTATAGCAACCGCTTAGTTCATCCGGGAAGTCGGCGGGCCGAAAAGCTGACGTGTATGCCGGTCACATTCATATCTATAGAGCTGACATGCTGTGCTTGATACGAGGTCCTAGGCCCTATACCCCAAACCCGTTCAGTGCTAGTCCGGCCTTTGCAATCCTGGACGGTCATGACCTCGGCAGATTTTGCAGTTTGAGCGATTTCGGAGCCTAGGCTTTGGGTTGGCTGGCTTAGGCGTTCATGGTTGAGGTTTTTGGGGAAGGCTTTCATGGGGCTTAGGATTTGGGAGCCGTTACCCTTGCAGGTCAGCAAAACACGCGGACGTCGGAGCTGTTTTCTTGTTAAGAGCCCTACACCCTCAACCCTAAGCCTTCCGTCGCCTGCAAAGAGATTTTTCATTACCTTAGGGTTTAGTGTTTAGGGCTTAGGGCTCACAATGTCGGCGATGTAAGAGTCCAAGATATAGGGGGGGGCTCTGAACGGAGGGGTTTCTCATAGTTCGGATGCTACTGCTTAGGGTCTGTAGTCGGGTGGCCGGGCTTCGCATGTCCGGAACCTTTCATATAGAGATGGCAGGTGTTACGATGCTATAAGGTAGGACCACTGCTGGGTTAGGAACCTGCTACCGCTATGCCAATGCAAAAGAATGCATGCACACTGGCCTGTCCTTGAAAGAAGTCGTAGAGCACCACCATCACAACCACTACCCCCACTATTGGACGTCCAACTGTTGGGCTTCTACTGTAAACTTGAGCACTCAAGGAGCCAAGGATTGCGGCAGCTTCTCTTGTATCTCCAGCTTCTTAGCCTCAGCTGTGAGGTTCTTGTGTCCCAGGCTTTGGATTACGAGCTTGGGCAGGTGTAAACGGTTCGAGAGCACCTTTCTTTGGGCTTCAAGCCTTTTGCCAAGAGCATGGTTGAAGTTTAGTTACATCCTGTCTGAATCTAGAACTTTGGCTTCGGCGTGGCGTAGGTCACGCGTTCGGTTGCTTCTGCCGCTCCAGGGTTCGAGTTGTCGGGCATAGAGTGCAGGGCTTAAGCTAAAACCCTGGGCGCAGAAGGTGCAGCTGCTAACAACTGCAGTCCCACGAAAACTGTACAGGTTTGCTGGCTGAGGCCATCCCAGCTTCGTGCTGCTCAAGATAGGTAAAACTCTACTGCAGAATATCTTCGAGGAAATATTGACAGTCGCAGGTATATAGGCCCACCTTCACAATTTTCAGATTGCGGCGATGGACTCCATCTGCCTACACACATGTGTATGCAAGATACGTTCACGTATCTGAATACGCCTATCTGTATATTCATATAAGCAAACAAAAAAGGATAAATAAACATGTGTATACATAAATTTAGATAGATACATAAGCAAGTACTTTGTGTATTAGGATCCGGCTGCTTCGCAGTCTCGCGTAGGGCACCCTTGTTCAGACAAATCCCCGAACAGTCGTCCAATGGGCATGAGAAACCCAGCGCTGAGTCCGACCTAGGCAGATGCAAGAAATAAGCATTTCTTCGAATCAACATTTTCTAACTGAGAACGAAAGCGGGCAAGTCACCACACAGTAACATCGTACCGCTCGTATGTGACTATTACAGCTTATCTGTGTAGTTGTACATGTACATGTACATACACAAGATGATGCATTCCAATGATACATCATGTCCGAAGCCGTGCAGCTAGGAAGAAACAAACCTTTCAGCAGTCAGACTTCAGAAACCGTGAAGTTCGAAAGTATGCCACCAGGGTTGGGTTTACGGTTAGCCCACTAGAGTCATAGGGTCAGAGCTTTAGGGGTTGAGGATTTAGGATCGAAATTGTTCGATACCGAGCGGCTAAACACTGAGAACAAGACTCCCTGACCAGGAATGCGGATCCGCTCAACAGCTTCAACCCAGGTGGCCTCACTCCAAACGAGGACCACCTGCTTCGCCCCGAACTCGAGAACCGCCCCAGCCGTGCCTCAGCTTGTGGCGTAAGTATCTGGAAGAGCTAGGGCTCGGATGTAGTACTAGTTTAGTTTAGGGAATGGCCTCGACAGCGCACTGCTTTCAAGTTCGAAAAGTCCAAGCTCTGGGCGAACACGATCGAGAGCTTCTGAAAGGGTTGGGGCGAGGTGGAAAGATCGTTATCTCAAATGCACGCAAAGGCACTTCCTGAGGAAGCTGCAGCAGCCCCATCACTCACCAGCTGGTCAGCTTGGTTCGTCTTTGCGAAGATGATGTCCTTCACTAGCCCTATGCCTCAAAGCCCCAAAGCCCTGAACTGAACCCTAAACACCCTACAAAATCCCCCAAGGCACCCCAAAACAACCCTTGCCGCCTTAGGCCCTTAGGGCTCAGGGGTTGAGTTCCTCTTCGCAGGGTTGGAGTGGAGCTTTCGGCGGGCGTTCATGGATCCATAGTAGAGAAGTTAGGGTTCAGGGTTTAGGTTTTATGGATCCATAATGGAGGGTGCAGCAGCGTTTTCAAGGCCTTAAGCAATCATCTCCTGACAGTTCTGGCTTCGCAAGTACGACATCAGTTAATTACGAGAAATAAATGCAAGCAGAATACATCTGCAAGGACCGCTGCTCAAAAACGATGCAGCAACACGTCTATCCATAAACACACACACACACACACGCACACCTTCCGGTCATATACATGTGTATGTATGCATGTATGTATGTATGTATGTATGTATGTATGTATGTATGTATGTATGTATATGTATATATATATATATATGTATACATACACTCGTGCACATCTGTCTACCTGTCTATCTGTCTGTCTGTCTGTCTATCTATCTATCTATCTATCTACCTCTATATATATATATGCATGTATATCTGCTGTTGTTTATACTTGTAAACATTCTTATATTTGCATTATATGTATATGATATATGATATATGATAGATATATATATATATATATATATTACAAATACATAATGCACATATTGTATACACACATGACCTGTACAAGCAATAAACATCTAGTTTTTTGTTCGGCGCAATCTTTTCGTTGCCCTAGTAGTAGCGGGTGCCCAACTTTCCTTCGAGTGAAGGCTCAAAGCTGTCCTGCCAGCTACATTACTTGGGCTGTGCAGGGCAACACGATCGACTCAAGACCCGTCGACACCAGCATCCAAAGTGTGGATGTCGCACGGGCCCACATAGTTGAGATAAAGACGCGTGCGCGATATGCACACAATATATATATATATATACTATACATAGCCTTCAGAGTTCAAAGTAAATAAATAAGTCTGTATATACAGTTATGGCACCATCGATGCAAATATATACATATATGTATATGTATATGTATGTATGTATATATATATACACGCACACCCACAAGTGTTGTGTACTTGTTTTCGTTTATTCTTTCGTTAGAGCTACTATGCTTATCTTATCTGCAATACACCCATAAAGAGTGCCCTCTCAAGCCCCGAGCTACTCTCTCCACTCCGGAGGCTCGCAGCAGAGGCTCCTTTCGGTCAAACAAGGATGTCTGGGGTTTAGGGTTTGGGGGTCTGGATGACTATTTGTTACCGGTAACACTTTCTGCAAACCTGTACATTAAGGTGATGAGCAGCTTCAAACGAATAAAGAGGTATATGCCTGCACACACATGTGCACACGCGCATATATATATATATATATGTATATATGTGTGTGTGTGTATGCAATGTAGGTTTACGTATACACACATCACCCAGGTGCCTATATGAGGGTGTTGGTTTCAGGATGCAGCCTCGGTGCGGCTACAGCCCATCTTCAGCAGCCATCAGCATCAAGCACAGCCATGGAGGGATTCGACTCTCACTCTCACACGCAGCTGACAAGGCTTATGGAGGGATTAAAGATTCGGGATCCGGGAATCGCTAATCCGGCAAAAACTTGGGGGATTAGGGATTGGGTTCAAGGTTTAGGCTTTGAGGCTTAGGGTGCAGTCGGTCCTATGGTCTCCTCGTGGCCCAGAAATAGCCACAACGTTTCGGTTTCAGTGTTGGTGCGACTGTGACATACCAGTCTACTCGCTAGGCAGTGAAGCATGTGATGCTTCTTACAGGCATCCGCCAGGACAAAACCCAAATACACAGACGAACAACCATTCCCCAAGGGCCCTTTCTACAACCACCAACACCCGAAGATCAACCGAAACCTTGTACCCCTATATCCGCCACCCTGAAACCAGACTTCATGGAGTCCTGAGCTTTCTCCCATGACATGCCGGTCAGAATCTGTGGTGGGCTGCCTCAGTGTCACAGCTGTAGGCTTGCGGAGGCAGGGTTCCATAGGCTTGAAGGTCTTGTAAGCCAATAGGTTTTGGTGCTTAGTAGGGAATGGGGGGATGGGTTATAGGGACTACTATAAGGGACCGTAAGGGACTATCATTGGGATCCATTCCCCCATTCCCTACTAAGCACCAGACATGATTTGATCAGGTTTAGGGTTCGGGGGCCTTGCAGCTTCTTGCAGTATGATTTATAGCAGCAATCTAACCCCTGGACCCTGCGGAATCCATGACCGAGAGCTGTTTGAGGGTTCAAGGCTTTCGGGTCTTGGTTTAGGATCTGGAGTTGCGTGATTTCGGACTTAGGGTTGGCGGGTCTTCTTGGAAACGGTCCTTCAGGCCGCGCCGCACATCATGAGGGAAGCCTCAAGACTAATAACCTGATGCGTCGGCTTTGAACTTTGAAGTACCGTTTCGGGTTTGGGTTTGGGGCCCTAAACCACTACGACACATACGGCGAGAAAAGAACAGCAATGTTGGCGATGTAAACTGGGGTTCCTTGAGTATACATAATGACTATGCTATGATATACTCCAAAATCCTGTTCTAATGATTATAAGCCTCCTATGCTATCGTAAGCCATTCTGGGAGTTCCGGAAGCGGGCCGGGCCCCCTGCAGGGAATGTTGCAATCCACCATCTAGGGTGCAGGGGTGTATGAGAACTTCAACACAAAAGCCACCCTCTGCTGTTTGGGGGTTTAGAGCTTTGAGGTTTCGGGCGCCAAAGTGGAGGTGCTCGGGAGGCCTAGCAGTGAAAGCCTAACCCCCTTAGCGCTACGGGAGAAGCCAGAGCTCGGCGGGGCCCGCTAAGTCTTCATAACTGGTTCTCTGTTGGGGCCATGTCCAAATGATAATCTGTACTCCTTATTGGGTCTTATTTTTACAAAAAATGTAAAACTGTATCCAACAAGGGTCCAGATAAGTGTATGCATTGCACGAGCCTCAGGGTTCTCGGGCTTCTTCTTGGGGCTGTGTTGGCTCTCCGCGTTTGATATCTCAAGGCGAGCTAGTACCTGCAGTGCAAAGACAGTAGCATCTCGTGGCAACGGTACAGGAAGCTCATCAAGGGGATCCTCCGCCCTGAACCCCTAGCTCCTAAACCGCCAAAAATGGTCCAAAGGTTGAGCCATCGCCTGGAATGTCCGGACGGCGAGCCCGAAACCTGGTAGACTTTGAACCGCAATTCCCCGGCCCCTAAACCCCTAAAACCAGGGCCCCTGAAGCCAGCGAACCCATGGTAAGCAAGCCAGGCACTGGACTTCACTCGAGACTTTTCTCGCGGCAGCTTGTCGATCTTATCCGGAAACAGGCCGGTAATGATATCCTCAAGGAAGAAAGTCAGTCAGGGCCCAGCTTTCAGATTTTAGGGTTTTGGGTTCTAGGGTTTAGGGCTTTATACGGGTTTAGGGTTCTAGGGTTTAGGGTTTTAGGGTTTAGGGCTTTATAAGGGTTTAGGGTTCTAGGGTTTTAGGGTTTAGGGCTTTATAAGGGTTAGGGTTCTAGGGTTTAGGGTTTTAGGGTTTAGGGCTTTATAAGGGTTTAGGGTTCTAGGGTTTTAGGGTTTAGGGCTTTATAAGGGTTAGGGTTTGAAGGTTTAGGGTTTTAGGGTTTCGGGTCTAGGGTTCTATACCCAGACAAAGGAATCAAATGTCTTTTGCCACCCCTTCAGAGGAGCTCTTCTTTCGGGTTTAGGGTTTTTTCGGTTTTGGGCTTCACGGTTTTAGGGTTTCGGGCATAAGCTTGTAAACACAAACCCTAACCTTTAAGCCCAATACCCTGCCCCAAAAAAGTTTAAACTTTTCTTTTAGTAGGGGCTTAATATACCAAAAAAGTTTAAAGTTTACCTATTGGGCTCCTATACTAAACCCTGGTCCAGAATGGCAGAGGCCAGCTCCAAGATGCCATGAGTGGAGCGATGGTTGTGCGTGAGGTGGTTGATATCCGGAACCTGCGGCGGAAGCGGCAACTTGATTTCCCTGAAGGAGAAGCCCAAAACCCTAAACTCTAAAAGGTTGTGAGGATTTTTTTGGGACGGCTTCGGTTATGAGGGCTGAGCTTGTGGCAGTGTTCGGGTGTTCGGTTGGCTAAATGCGCCAGCACAGTTCAGGGCCAGGTCTGAACTGTTCTCTCACGATCAGAACACGGCTTTGGGGAACAGTTTTAACAAGTATAGTCATAGGGTTAAGGGTTTAGGATTTAGGGTAATGAGGAGCTTTAAAGCACAACATTGGTAATTATGTGTAGGCGCTTTTAAGACGGCCACCCTGCCGCCCTCATGAAACTTGAAAGAACGCCTCTTGGACTGCAGCCTTCTTGAAAAGCGCGATCCCATCCCAGCAGTGCGCAACCGAAGCCGCAAAACGGCTGTTGCAAACATGGAAGTCTTGACAAGTCCATTCCCCGTAACCAAACTTCATAACCAAAAGCCCAAACCCAACACCCGGACCCTGAACCCTAAACCCTAAGCCCAAACCCAACACCCGGACTAACAATCATGAGGTCGCAACTCTCCAGCCCTGAGGCCATAATCCTGTCCCAAATCCCACGACATCTTACATGCGGATAATCCCTGAATGCAGTTCTTTTAATTGTATTGAGTAACTACTACTCGAAATCCCTGGCGTTGCTAATAATCATGTGGCCTCTTCCCCAAATCCCTCGTCTAACTGGTAAGGCCTTACATTTTCACTCCGGACAAACCTTTTGGAAACACTTTCAATCACAAACCCAGAGGGACCCAGGCTTCGTAAATCCCAGAATAGCAATAATAATAGTAACAAGAACAATAATAGCAAAGCAATAGCAATACCAATGGCAATAGCAGTAGCAATAGCAACAGCAAGAGCACTCGTAATAATTAACCATATTATCTCATCGTCATAATCATAAAAATCATCATCATCATCATTATCATCATAATACCAACTTTGAGACAAAGTTTAAAACGCCAAATGAAAAACCCTACCCTACCCCGTCCTTAAACCTTAGATGCCTTAGACCTGACCTCTGTCCAGATTGCCGGCGGGGGCCGAGCCGGAGTTCCCGTGGGCACAATGTTTTCCTCTGGAAGCGGCGCGATGATGTTCCTGCCAGGGGTTTTAGGGTTTAGGGTTTTAGGGCTTAGGGGCTTCAGGGTTTAGGGTTTAGGGTTTAGGGGATTCAGGGTTTAGGGGCTTCAGGGTTTAGGTCGGTTTTAGACTCGCGCAACTCGGTCAATGCAGGCGGTAGTTTTAGGGTTTAGCATTAGGACTGGGTTTAGGATTAGAGCTGAATCAGCCAGCCGTGGGAGCTCAATGGGCTAGCAGGGTTTCGGTAAGCGTAGAATGTTCTGGGGGCTTGTTCTATGTGGCCTGTATACGACTCTGGCCGCCAGCGTGTATGCGTAGATCTCTCAGATTAGCGTTCCTCTTGAGGTCTACCAAGTAATACGGCACCCTCATAAACAGGACTCTAAAAGGGACCCTAATTCACAGAAGTACCCATATGTTGGAGGCAGTTCATTTGCTCGAGTTGTACTGACCGCAAGAGATTTCGATCCGAAGCTCGCTTGGGCTGTGGGGCCTAGAGCTATAGTTACAGCCCGTGAGACCCAACACATACTTCATCAACACTTTAAAAGGCCCTTGGGTGATGCTATCATACCAATGAAAAGAAGTCTAAGGAACCCCCCCCCCCCCAGTTATTGGCAAGAGCCATACACATCTTCGGGTGATGTACGAAAGTATGCAGGTCGGATCGAAGGTACATTGTTTCATCCTTTCTACAATGCGTCCACTGCGACTTCACCCGGCAAGAAAACCGACCCTGCCCGCTCTTGGAACAGCGCGCTCCAAAAAGCGTGGTCAAGGTCGTCTAGGCCCTAGGCTGCAGACAAAATCTTGTGGCCGCGAAATGTCACCAAGTCCCGACAACCCATGAAGCCAACAAGTATTGTTTAGACCGACTCTGCTACGGCTAAAACCCTATACCGCTTAGATACTGCTTTAGGTTCACAGCTCCCTTCTCGTTCCCAGCGCTCCGGGTCATCGACAAACCGCAGGAAGAGCCACCGGAATTGGGCTTGCCAGTAGGGCAGGGCAACTTGTCACCACTGCCACTGCCTTAAGCGCTCAGGATCCAGGTCTCACACAAGGGTCAGGATGGGGAACAAAAAACAATTTATATATTCGGCTTGGATCTGGGGTTCGGGCTTCAGGGGTCTGACACTCGGATATTTCAGCGGGTTTTGACCATGTCAGAGTTTCACAGTGTATAGCCGCGGGATCATTGACGGCTTGATCTAAGGGACTCAGATGGGCCCGTTTGCAACAGTGGAGGATGACATCGAAGTTGACTTGAGATCCTGAAACCCGTACCCAGATGCTCTTAGCCACTATCGATGCTTGAACTTCAAGCATGCTGCAAGTGCACAGACGCGTATGTATGTATATATATATATATCATTATATATGTATGTATGTATAGCCTTTGGCGCACCTCATGCCCATCACCCCTCAAGTCTGAACATAGCTGTACCCATCTGCGTCCCTGCCGGCAATGCACATCGGGTTCTGGCATCCCGATGATGATTTCAGAAAACGATCAGCCCTGAAAGTGATACTGATACCATATACCAGGATCATCAGCACAAGGACCTCCAAAGAAGGCGTGACTAGGACCATCCCAAATCAAGCTTCGAGTCACAAGAAACCGTAACCTTAGGGGCTGAGTATCCCATACAGCCCCAAGAAGCCAAGCCTTCTCAATTATAGACCCAGCCCGGTAAGTAACAAACCTTCAGGGAACCCCTGACCCTAAAACCCGTACCCTAGCGTCCCGAACCCTACATAAACCCTAATCTCCTGAACCCTAAAATCCTACATAAACCCTAATCTCCCGAACCTTAAAACCCTACATAAACCCTAATCTCCTGAAGCCCTAAATCTCCGGAAGCCCCAAAACCCTACATAAACCCTAATCTCCCGAACCCTAAAACCCTACATAAACCCTAATCTCCTGAAGCCCTAGCCCTTTTCCCTAAACCCTAAACCGCTTGAATGACAAGGTGCAGGACTCGACCCTGACCTTCAGCCCCTTCGTGCAGCCCTGCTTGAGCTTTCGGCAGGATGCCCGCAGCCTCTCATAGCCTTTGGGGCTTTGGGGTTTAGGGTTTGGGGGTTTAGGGGTTTAGGGTTTAGGGCTTCAGGGCTTCAGGGCTTTAGGGCTTTAGGGCTTAGGGGTTTGGTCTTCTTCGCAAGGACGAGCCCGCAGGTTCGGGGTTGACATAGGGCTCGCCGAGATAAGGGGCACATGTTAAATGGATCCGAGTGTTCCGGCTCATACGGTATTGGGGTCCCTGATAAACTGAAACTACCAGGTTGATAACTTAGGCGATCAGTTGGGGGCGGGGGACTTCCAGTTGATGTGTGGTGACCCGCGACGGGAGCATTTGACCCCAAATTGATGTCTTAGACAAACCTTGCAACTTATGAAGCCAGCTCAGAAAGCTTTGTCAAACCGCTGAAGCCCTAAGCCTGCACAAAAACGTGAAGCGTTGATAGCCGACTTCAGAATTAGACCATGGCTTGTCGCACACTATTAACTGTAACCATATAATTAATACAGGGTCCTGCATCATGAGAATAGGGCTTCGGCGGAATTTGCAGTATAACTTCCAGTATAACTATATGCAGGAACTCCTTGAGGAATCACATAAGCAATTCTTCCGGCTTCTGTGTTATACAGGGGTTGGAAGGGGATACTATTGCGGATCATTCTGACCCCAATATGTACTGCGTACCAGCCACCCCCATGTGAGCGCACGAGCCAAAACGACTCTTCTCGACAGAAGCCGGAGCACGGTGGTTGACGCCACACGCGCACCGACCCTAGAACATGACATGGACGCATAACCATATCATGTGTGTGCATGTGGCAGTCAAAGGAGATCGGCAGTGCAAATACAATAACAACAACGGTGTCTCCGGCACAGGAGACACACAGTTGTTGCCAAGTCTCAGCATCGAGCACCAACACAACATCCTCTCACACCCAAGCAAAACCCTAGACATACCAAGCCCTAAGCTTAAACCCTAAAGAATTGGAGGCCGAGTTGCAGCTGCCATTCTCGTCTCCACCTCAGAGTGTCGTTCAGATTCGATCGCTCCAGGGAGGAGTGCAGAGGCTTGGCAGATGGGGCTCCGGTTTTGTCTGACCGTTTTGGGCGGTGCGGGGGACCCTGCGATGAATCCCGCAACCAGCCGGGACAAGCTCGAAGATGTTGCTGCTCACTCGATGGAAACACCTCGCTGCAGCTGCAGCGCGGTACATTTCTCTCGTTTACAATGTCGTGTTGCCAAAATCAGGCCCGGATCTAGAACGGCCGTTGATCAACATGTATTGCACCGTCGGAGCACACTGCCCCATGCTAATCTGATTACGACAGCGATTACCCTCACTGGGACATTGTGCGACACTTCATTCCGAGCCGAAAGCATACATAGAAGCCAACCTGCAGCATCCTCAACCCCCGACTGCAATCTTGAGCAGGGCAGCTCGGACTTTGGCAATTCGGGTGGTCATCTTGAGTTCAATCTCTAGCATGCAATGTTAAACATAGAAATACATTGCCATACAAGCATGCAGGCAGGCAAGCAAGCAAACAAACAAGCAACCAAGCAAACAAACAAAGCAAGCAAGCAAGCAAGCAAGCAAGCAAGCAGGCAAGCAGGCAAACACCCAGGCACACAAACAACAAGCCAACACGCCAGCAAGCCAGCAAGCAAACAAACACTCAACACACACACCCACACAAACAAGTAAGCACACCCAAACACGCAAGCAAGCAAGCGAGCGAGCGAACAAGCCAACAAGCGAGCAAGCACACAAGCGAACAAAATCACACCCATGCGTGTATTCTCTCTCCCTCTCTGCCGTTGCATGCCGAGAGTCTGGCAGCGCCAGGCAACATTTTTGCATACGAATTTGCTTTAGCTGTATGGACGGCTTGTTGGTTACCGGTGCGAAGACATACTAGAATGTTTCGCTCTGCTCTGTCGAATCTTTCACGTTACGCCTAGGCACAGATCACCCAGACGTGGTACTTGCCGCTGCAGAGGAACTCGAAGCCACCTTTCCTGACCTCGCGCATGCCTGAGGAGAGCGAGGTGGGAGCTTCTTAAAAACTGGGGGTACCTCAACTGGGGCGGTTATCTGCTCTTTGAGCGCCTAGATTGGGGCTCACTTTCTGCTGAACCTCCGGTTGGACTCGGAGCCAGGCCGGCCCGGCCCAGCCCGCCCGGCCACCAGCTAAGCTAGCTTAAACCCGACATCGTGCACCCCGAAGCCCTAAGCTTAAGCCCTAAGAACTTAAACTATGGAAAGCCTGAAGATTAAACCCTCGAGACGCATGCCTCAGCCCCGAACTCTTGAAGCGCTCCTTACATTCCCGATAAGGAAAGGGATTCGAGCTGAACCTGCAATACCGAAACGATGGGAACATAGGATTAGGTTATCTTGCATGAAGCTGGCCAAAAAGTTTGAAAGCTAGCTTAGGGACCGTTTAGCCTCAAGCCCTTGAGCCTGAAAGCCCTAAGCCCTAGACCCTAACATTTCTATTTTTTGGGGACCCTTCATCCTCAGGCCCTGAGCAAATCCGAAAGCGCATCCCCCCCTTGCCGAGCTGCACATGCTGCAGGTCAAGACCTCCTGCTCCTGGGTTTAGGGGTTTAATGTTCAGGGTCTAGGCGTGTGATGCAACAAAAGAGGCCTTTGTTTTGCTAGACTGAATTTTCATGAGGAGTCGATTAGGGTTGCAGTAATGACTGCTATGCTGTTGCGGCCTGCAGACCTCTGAACGGCTTGTAGGAGTACATCGAAGCCGAGCAAGACCTGCAAAGCAACCTCCTGCTACGACAACTGCTGCGCCGACGACGAACTAGTACAACGTCTTCGTCGTAATTAAGGCGTAAATCCTCCTCATGCTTTCAGACCTCATGCTGGCTCATGAAGACCTCCAGCAGTGTGCGCTTGGAATCCAAAAAAGGCCTTTTGATATAGTCAGGTTTGGTGTGACGCGTTGGTATCCAACTCCCTACTGAAGCCTGATTTGCTGAAGCACTTCTTGGCTTCCCGTAGTATAATTTCCGAAGTCAGATGCACCTGAATGCAGGATCAGTCATGAAACCAAAACCCTCAGTCTCACACACTTGGCCTGCATTCATTGACACGGCCTGAAGTGGAAACACTCAGCAACAACTTCCGACACTCCAGCAAGCCCACAGCCCAGTACCCAAACCTCCCAACACTATGAGTACCCATAGTAAGCTGATCCAGCAACGCATCTTTCTTTTCTACCTCCTCCGCGACTCGTCCACCGAGGAATTCCTGCGATCTGCTGCAGCTGTTGGAAGTTCAAAGCGGACTACATGAGAGAGATTTTCAGGGATTACAAGCTTCTGTGACGATACTGTCAGGCATTGAAGACGCTGTGTCCGGCACAAATATGCCTTCAGCGGAGTTTGGGGACATCTGCCGCAAGAAACCTGCAGCAATAGTATTGCTGATCACTGATGCAACCAAGGTTTGGTGTTTAAGCTTTGGTCAACGACTTCACTCCACTACAACAGCAACAGACAAAACCTCCCTTGGAATGAACAAAGGTAGCTCCCGTAGCTAGGAACACGGAGGCAAAAAGGAAGGAGCTTAGAATTCTGTTGTTGTGGGGTATTGGGCACATGTTGGTAGCGTGAAGTTTCGGATGCCATCTCACTCCGAATGAGCGTCCAGTGGAATAGGTTGAGGTTGGAAGGCGCTGTTGGCAGGGGTTCTGACAGTTGCGGGTGCAGGGTGAATGCAGTCTACATTCCCTAAACTCTTATGCCATAAAACCCTAAACCCTACGATCCAAGCCAGAAAATTTCACCTGGTATGCCAAAACGTCCTCAAAGAAGAGCCGCCGGATGCTTTCGAAGCGGAACTCGACACCTGCAGGACGTGAGGGTTCAGGGGTCTAGTGGAGTAGGCTTCGGGGATTTAGCTGCTAGCTTCGGAGGATTGGGTAACAGCCGTGGCAGACTAGAGAGCTTTCAGGGTTTACATCTTCAGTGTCCAAACCTGGTACTTTTACACAGGAACTGAGGATGCTACCACTCCGGTTGGGCTTCTCTAACAGGCAACTCTGCTCCTGCATTCGGCAGGAGTTTCTGCATGAAATCATCCTAACGGATCGGTTCAGCAACGTGCTGCAGAATATGGCACTGCATGAACACCAGGTTTAGGTTTTGCGGCTTTCAGGGTTCAGGGCTTAAGGCTTTACGGGTTTAGGGCTGCCCTCAACGCACGCCTTTGGAGATGGTCTGAGCAGTGTCTCCTGCGAACACGAAGCCTTGTTCGCGCTCAGATACCTGCGAACAGCCATGCTTCTTCCTAGACATGTTTTCAATATGTACTGGCATCCTGCCAGGAACGCCCTTTTGCCAGGAACGCTCTTCTGCCCCAAGGCTAGAACTTCCGTTTGCACCAGGTCCTGCACCGAACAAAACAACAACAACCACAACAACAACAGCAGCAATAACAACACCACCACCAACACCCACACCAACAAGACGCAGCAGCAGCAGCAGCAACAACAACAACAACAAAAGCAACACCAACATCATGAATCTATCGTGGATGCTCTCTTCTCAGAACGGATTAGACCTGGCCGTCATCATTGTTGGGCCATGGATGCTCTGTTCTCAGAACGGATTCGACCTTGAATTGATGGACGTCATCATGGTTGGGCCATGGATGCTCTGTTCTCAGAACGGATTAGACCTTGAACTCATGGACGTCATCATGGTTGGGCCATGGATGCTCTGTTCCCAGAACGGATTAGACCATTGACTCATGGATGCCATCATGGTTGGGCCATGGATGCTCTGTTCTCAGAAAGGATTAGACCGTGGACTCATGGACGTCATCATGGTTGGGCCATGGATGCTCTGTTCTCAGAACGGATTAGACCTTGGACCTCATCATGGTTGGGCCGTGGGTGCTCTCTTCTCACAGCGGTTTAGACCATGGACGCCATCATGGTTGGGCCATGGATGCTCTTTTCTCAGAGCGGATTAGACTATGGACGTCATCATGGTTGGGCCATGGATGTAGAGAAACCACCGCAAATACCGGTGGTGTCGGTACTGCAAGCAAAGAAAACACCATAAAGACGGAGGGTTTCGGCACTCGCAGAATTCCTGATTTTGGAGGCGCCGGGAACGCCGACGACACCGATATATTCGGCACGTGAAGTAAGGGAAACACCGCAGAAACCGATTTATTCGTCATGTCGGCTTTGCGTGCTTACATGGGTTTGGAGCCAATAGCAACACCACCAACACCAACACCAACACCAACACCAACACCAACACCAACACCAACACCAACACCAACAACAACAACAACAACAACAACAACAACAACAACACCAACACCAACACCAACACCAACACCAACA